AACCCTCTTCACTAAACTGTCGCCTCGCAAAATGAGCGATACTTCTATCGCAGTATACTACGCAATTCATGCCTCAGAAGGATATTGAAGGCCAAGCTCTGGCAGATTTCTTAGCCGACCGTTCGGTATCAGATTCTTCCAAATTATATGAAAATTTACCATATGAGGTTACAAAAGCTTGTGTAACTCAAGAGGTCATGCAAGTATGAAAATTGTTCTTCGACGGTGCGTCAAGAGCAAGTCCAGATGGAGGAATCACAACTGGTGTGGGGGTAGTACTCGTATCCCCAAATAATCATGTGATCCCAAGAGGATTTTCCTTAACTGAGCCATGCACCAACAATATAGCAGAATACAATGCTTTGCTATTAGGGATGCAGTTGATCGAGAAACTTAACATCCGATATCTCGAGGCTTACGGTGATTCTTAACTCATCGTAAATCAAATCCGAGGAGAATACGAAGTGCGTAATGAGGATTTAGTCCCATATTACTTCACAGCGCTAAATTTAGCCCAAAATTTTGAAAGTTTCTTTATCGGATACATTCCGCGGGTCCAAAACGCCTATGAGGACGCTTTAGCATCATTGGCGACTTCACTGGCATTGCCACCGAAGACAGAATGGGAAATTCCACATAGTCTTATGCAATCCATTAAAATTTAAAATAAGCAATATGAGGTAATTGGACCCTCGTGAATTACCAAATAATTGAAGATGATCGTTATCCATACTAATCTTTATAGTTATAATTTGATTGCATCCTACCCAAAAAATCTGGTTTACGATTTAGTATCCAAATATCCTTTCCCATAAATATCGAGTTCCTTCAACTCGTTTGCCGGTGCTTATCTCTACTTAACTATCAGGTGATTGACATTATACAAGGTATAAGTTACAGACAACTGCCCCTAATAGTCATAAATTAAGAAATGATAATGGTTAATAACAGAACTGAAGACTGACGAGCGATTTAGGAGGTAGGGATGAGCTTGGGCACAGGTGCAGAAGAGCCCAAATCGAATCGATTAAATAGCACAATGCAGATCCGAAAACAAATCCACCGTCTTACCCAGGCCAAAACTGTTCACAAACTACTACAGATCGCTCCTCAACCCCCAAAAGGAAAATAATATCAATGAGTGAAAGCATAAAAGATGGTAGAGACGTAAACAAGAAGCGCCGTTGAGACAAGCGTGACCAGCGCCGTCACGGCCCTGACGGCGGACTTGCTCCC